CAACATATATATATATTAATATATATATACAGTATATATATATATAATATATACATATATATATATATATATATGTATATATATATATATATATATATATATATACACACACAATCAAGCAATACATGAAGCTAAGGTTGCCAAAGGAGTGACTGTGATCACCAAGCTCTCAGAAGATCTCAGAAACATTAGGAGAAATGGAAAAGTTGCTACTGATTCGGATCAACAAAAAGCAGGTGGCAGGCGACAGTATTTCGGGGACTCCTCAGCACTGGTAAGGATGAATGAAATTGCCTTTTCTATTTATAGCGTTATTCTTTATTTAGTTATTAGTTATTTAGTGCTTATCTTTTTTGTCAGATCGAATTATTTTCATTGGTTTCGTGTGTGAACTTGTACACGAAACACTGTTGAAAAAGGTTGAATAAGAAGTCATCCAGGGTCCAGGAATGGATTATTCCATTTTACATTGATTCTTATAGGGGAAATTGTTTCGGTTTTCCAACTTTTCTAAAAGTTCCAAAAACCAAGGTTCCAACGTATACAGCTTTTCCATGTCCAATACTGAAACTTCAAAATGGAGCATGTGCCACTACCGGACACAATCTGATACCTTCTTTTCTCCTCCAGCATGAGGCGTTAGTGTCCCTGTTTACAGCATGCCGAGCAAAATTAAATTGAGCATTTGGGTTTAGGTATCGGATCGAATAGACAACAGTTGTTGTCAGACCAAAACCTGAGTATATACACTATATATACTATTTATATATATATACTATATACGACAATACAAACATATACATATACTATAATACAAACATACCTTGTCTTAAAGAGCAGCTACAGCATATGGTTGTGTTTTGGAGCTCTATTTCTTTAATTAGGTTCTTTTTTAATATTTTTTAATACTGCGTCCTCTCCTCCCCTCCCCCAGCACTCTCCTCTCCCCTTCTCTCCTCTCACGTTCTCTTTTCCCCTCACTTGTCCTCTCTTCTCTCTCCTCTTTGCACTTGTCTCCCCTCCTCTGGTTTTTCATCTCCGTTTCCCTTACTTCCCCTCTCCTCTCCTCTCCTTTCCATTAGATAATTAGCCAGCACTATAAATCACACCCACAGCTGCTTTAAATGTACGATGAAATGCCCTACGTAAGAATGAATTGCTCTGAGTAAGTATTTAGTAAAGCACAGCCTGAAAGGCTGTAGGAAGAGGACAGTGGACTTGTTAGTGGAACCCATGTCCTCACAAGGTGTAAGGGTGATTTTGTCTGAAAAGGATGTTTTTTTTCTTTAAATGTGAGTGTAAAGTATATTACTTTAACAGACTACAGCCTACGCAAATGAGGGTGATATTTTAGTATGCGTGAGTTACTGCACTAACTTGGTGCTTATTAAGCCCGTTCTGTTCGGTCCATGTATCAGCTTAACACACGGAAACTTATTCCCAGTACAACATGGATGTAAGCCTCTTTACAAAACGGTAACCTAATAAAATCAGCAGCTGATTAATTCCGGGATATCTTGAGAATATATCCAGTGTTTTAAAGTGAGCATTAGACAGCCCTTTCTAAGCCTTTAGAGAAAAATCATCATTTTTAGCTCACTGTTGCACAAAAGCTACTAGTGTACTGCTGCTGTATTTGGTTAATTGGAGTCGCTCCATATACTATAATTAATTCAAACACTCGGGATACAAAGTTGCCCACTGTACTTGCAGAAGTGGATCAACAACTATTTCTGTTGTAATTGTCTTTTATGGATGTTTTGGGAGAATGAGAGAATTGACAACGCAACAAAAAAATGTCATGGCTGACGCTGAGATGAAGTGAGAAAAGAATGTTTATAGTCAGGTATTCAAGGGTTTTTAGTTTCTCTCTTTTATTTTCTTAAGTTCTCTAGTAACACCAGACATACGTGTCTCACCATAACTGACCTTGTGTGAACGGTCTGAATGAACAGCTGTGTGTGTGTGCGGTATCTGTGTGGGTTTCTATCTGTTGAAATCTACGAGATACAAGTAATATTTCTCCTTGAGCAGTGCTGAAAAAAAAAATACTACCAGCTGTATGGGACCAACTATGTTTGGAATGTATGTCTTTGAATGCAGCTGCTCTGCCAGTGACTGATATTACCTGCAAACCTCGAAGATTGTGTTGCGCCAGTGACAACAAGTCTCCAATATAAAGAATATAAATGTTTCTTTTCAATCATTAACATGTCTGTTGGTACATTTAAGTCCCCTTATGCAGGAATAATGTCTGATTTCTGTATCTGGGTCTACATATGGGTTAGATAGAAGTCCCATGTGGTGGGACTAATATTATGGCCTGCTGTATAAGCCCTTTTAGCCTCCTATGATAACCATATAGCTGAAGAGTAAATACTTAAATAGGTTGTCCAATAACCTGTTGGTGCTCAAACTGATTTTAAAGAGATTACATGTCTAGGAATGAATGGTATGTCTGCCAGTGACAGACTGTTCAAAACACTCTCATGAAATAGCCCCAAGTGGTGTTGAGAATATAAATCATTATTCGCGGCTTACGATAGTTGAGAACATCCTACGGATCCGGAAATTTGTATCTGGAAGGCAGATTTCATCCTTGCATTGGGCTGATAGACGCCTATAGCTACATTATTTCACCAAATATGAAGTTCAGTTGTGTGAGATTCAAAATGGTTTGTGGTCAGGAACTAGATAGAATTCCAATACTTATGCATGTATGTACACTATACATCACCTCAAACGGAGTGTTTTTTTATAGTCTTAAAGTTTGTTAGGATGTTTTGTTATAGAAACCACCATCTTCATGATCATCCCAGATATAGTCTTAAAGTTTGTTAGGATGTTTCGTTATAGAAACCACCATCTTGTCCCAGGATCAGAGTATGAAAAAAGTTGGCCAAGCTCGGAAATGCACACACAAACAAAGGCACCCACCGGGTTACCTGGACCCAGAAGACAACACGAGGTTTAAAAAGACTTACTACTCAAGTGAGTTAGCATGTATTGAACCGATTAAAATTGATGCTTAAACCGATTAGGAGTCAATAGAGTGTGTGTAAAGGACATTCATACATTTTCATGAGTAGTAAAAGCCACAGATATTTCTGACTTTTTTTTTAAAGAAGGGCATAAGTTAAGGACAAGGAATCAGTGGTGTACACACTGGCAGTACAACCCTGACAGCAGGAGGTGCACTCATCCACTTAAGTCTTACAGGTCGACCACACTTCCTTCCTTTATCAGCTGATAAACGCACGTCACCTCAAGAGTTGCGACAAATCTGGATACAGAAGAATGCTGATAAAGCATGTCATGGTGAAACACAACAATTATCTAATAAAAGAATAGGTACTTTTTCGTTCAACCATAGACCAAAATGGACATATTTAATTTTGTATAATTTAATGTGGGTATCTTGTTATCTATAATTTTTAAGAAGAATCCCTTTATATAATATGACTTTCCTGGTGTCATCCAACTTCCACTCTCCTGGACTTGGACTCCCAGCAGATTCGTGTATCTGCATTTACTCTATAAAATCAAAACTGCAGCGTTTTTGTGTGGTTATGTAATCGCATGACTTCAGAATTTCAGATTGGATGAGTTGTGTCTGTTTAGGAGTCCAAAGATGTACTGCATGTGCCGCATCAGCATCATGCAGCACCCAGTTTTCTTGAGAAGCCAACGTTAACTAAGGCTGTTTAGAGCCTTAGTTAACACTGGCCATTACTGTGAGGCAGTCAAGCTCTCTATCTTTCTTCCAATCCACAGCCAATGCATAAGGAATTACCATTAGCAAAATGCACTGTCCCTTTAACTTACTATAGAGAGTGAACATTCATGCCAATACTATTAAGAAATGAAATCTGCACTTTACAATTATTAATAAATAAATAAGTAGATTAAAATAAATCAATACTGATGAACAGATTTTTTTTTTACAGTACAGTACAGACTAAGTATATTCTATCCACATCAATATTTGGATGAGTCCACAGATTATTAACTAGCTTTAAATACACGGTTTTTAATATTGCCACTTTAGTGTTATCTGTTCGTCACGTTTGCTTTACATTCTTCAAAATTCTAGTCATTTTCGTTCCACTAAAATCTTAAATGGCGAATTTCCAACTGATATTTTAAGTATTTGGGCTTAGACAGAGTCACTTTTTGTTCTAAATTCTACTTCCATTCTACTTTTTTTTGACTTTTTTTTTCACTTAAATTTACCATAGCCACATTCCGCAATTGTAAGCACACAATTTCAAAATATCAAGAGTTTTTTATGTTTTTAATTTTAATTTAATTATTATTAATTTTATTTTTTTAATTTAATTTAATTTAAATTTAGTTTTATGTTTTTTTATATATTTTTTATATTTATTTTAAGCCTTTTTTATGGCTGGACCACTTTTTTTAAAACTCATTTCTTTATAGGTCCTAACCTTTTAGAGCAGTGTTTTGTTTTTGTTTTTAATTCATGATAAACATTTGACCCAATCCACAGCTACCAGGAGCTACAAGAGGTCAATAGGTAAGTGTCCCGCACAAGAATACATGGGATTGCTTTAACGACTTTGGTAGAGAACCTGATCCACTAACAGAACCCCAACCAAAGAATCAGAACAGGGCTGGCCAACATCAAACTGGCTCACATGAGTGCCTGATGTTTGGAACTGGTCTGGTCTATAATACAACCACGCTGCAACAGAGTATATTTAGACATCGATATCAGTAAATACAAGAGCATCGTGAGAGAATTGTCTAAATATATTACCCTTACACAAATCCCCCGGGCCCCTCGTGGACCTATTTCGGCTCTACTACGATTAGTTAAGCAGGTCTTTTAACTTCACTGCAAGTGTGTCGTAGAGGGCGTAAGAGTAAAAGGGGGGGTAGAGGGGGGGCGCGCAGAGAGAGGGAGAGAGAAGGAGAGAGAGAGAGGCGGGGGCCGGGGGGAGGAGCGGGTCACCTTTTGTGCAAATATATCAACCAAGAGACCTGCCACCAGCATCAGATTTCTGCGTGTGCGTGTGCGCGTGAGAGAGTCCACGGCAGTCACTTTGCAGAGTGACAGTGAGAAAGAGAGAGAGAGAGAGGTCCAGAAATCGTCGGAGCAGTAAAAAGAAAGAAGATTCTCACTGTTCTGCCACATTTCCGTTCACTGCTCGCTCCCAGGACCAGAGTGAATACTTTTCCCTGAAGAAAGTTGCTGAAGCGAACATGGACGGGACACGGTTCGGACGCGCGGTGCTGCTGTGCACCTTGCTGAGCGCATTGTTAGGTGGGTGCCTTCGATAGTTTCCCGTTACATTTGTGCGTATATGGAAATTATACGAAGAGAGACAGACGCACTCTTTTGTATTTGTGTGAACCTTTTGGAGTCAGTTTTCGTCGCTCCAGGCGGCACATTTCTACTTCTCTCCTCTCCTCTGACTTCGGCTCAGTCTACAGCACTTCAAACGCGCGGCTCTGTCTCTGGCCGCCGTCGCTGCGACGCGTTTAGTGACCGCACAGACAACGCTACTACTTTGACACGTCTCACTTTTAGGCTTTTGTAGCGTCAGAAAATATATTAACTTCCACTCAGAAACACCCACACGTATCCCAGTGACTTAATTAGTCTTTGGGCTAAAGTGAAAACGTCGCTTTATGTATTTCACTGTCTCCACACACGAGCTGCTGGCGGTACAACCTAAGACTAATGGTAGAATGATGTATTTCAGCAGGTATTACACTTTGTCCTTCTGAAACATATTGCTGCCTTCGAAAAATGGTTTATATATCCTCTTTATATGTTATCTATCTATCTATCTATCTATCTATCTATCTATCTATCTATCTATCTATCTATCTATCTATCTATCTATCTATCTATCTATCTATCTATCTATCTATCTATCTATCTATCTATCTATCTATCTATCTATCTATCTATCTATCTATCTATCTATCTATCTATCTGTCTATCTGTCTGTCTGTCTATCTATCTGTCTGTTTGTCTGTCTGTCTATCAGTCTGTCTATAACTTTAAAAGCATCTCAGTTTTCTTTGGTTCTATTTATCTTTTCTTTCTTTCTTTCTTTCTCAATCAAATGCAGAATTCCAACTGATCCTGGCTTGGTCTGTCTCTTTATTGATTGAACTGAAGCTTTTACTTTTCCGCTTCCTCTAACGCTGCCAGTCTCATTAAAGATGCAGTCTCCTTTTGACTCTGTGGTGCTATGTGCGGCGCGGTTTCTCTGCACTTTGATGTTTTCTATGTGGGATTTGCGTCTGCCGCTCTGCAGCGGGATTCTCTGACTCCCTGAGCACCAGCTCAAGAGGAGAAATGTTACTTGACTTTGGACTTACATGTTCTCAGTGAAGAAAAAGCCCCGCGGTTATCCTGACCGTGCATATTGATTGATGGGGTTGGTTTTGTAGCTATTTTAATTTATGACTGACCTCAGCTGATCTCCAGTGGTTATAACAGGACCAAAGGGATTAGAAGTGATGTGATGTGTGAGAGGTGAGATCATTACTTAACTGATCCTTCCCTGTTTTTTTTTTCCCTTTGGTTTCAAAGTGATTGGATGGGCTAATTTGTTATAAGCTGACTATGATGTGCGCACCGTGATGCCACAGCTACAAAAAAAATGAATCCTGGTTACAAAGGGTTAATTTCGTTAACATTTGAATCAACCAGAATCATTGTTACTTAGACATTAACATGTTTTAACTGTAAACTCTCCAACACAATTTCAAGAAGTCACATCGCAGCACTTCAAGAGTCAAGGGAGTGATCCACTGCTAGTTGTATAGTGACTTTTGTGTTGGTATGTTTTGTTATGGACTAGACTAAAAAACTTATTTCTGTATATACTAATGAAACATAGTGGACTTGTATTAAGTCTTTGGGTTATAAAAGGCTGTTTCAGATTACGATTGCCCTGTATGACGTAAGGTTTCTCTTCTACTGAACACTCACTGACTCTGCTGTCCTTACTGCGTCACCATTTATTCAAAATTACTCATGCAGCTGTTTGGGGAAGCATCACTGTCGCTTCCTGTAAACTCCCGGTTTCCTTTTATCGTTTTATATTAGTATTTTTTTTCCTGCACAGACAGTTGTTCTCTGCAGTCTGTCTAACCTTGGAACCTTTTAACAGATGTCCTCAAAAGTGCCCTGTAATTGATGGACGCAGTATATCACAAACACCTCCTACAGATGTGGTGAGCATTGATTTAAAGGCTTAGTTCCAGGTGCTCCGGTGATTACCTGTTCCCTCCCATACTGGTCTAAACTCTATGTAGTCTCTCAGAAGGAAGAAAACTACTTGTCTTTAATATTAATTCAACTTGTGATTTTTTTTTTTACAGAGAGTTAACTAAGGTTTCCGATCTCAGAAGGAAGAAAACTACTTGTCTTGTCTCCTTTTTTAACATAGCCATTCTATTTTACACATGTTTGGGTCTATAGCTCTTTTAGGGTCTTAGTGGTATTCAGTTATGCAGACCCACATTTTTACAATAAATGATCCTACAACTGCAGTTTCTAAGTGTGCCATGTTGATCAAACACTGAAAAGCATGACATATACTGCACTCAGACAAATACAAATCCTATGGATCTTAGGGGATATATCCAAGTGAACAAGGTTATCTCCCTTCCATATTTCTGAAACATATATCCCCGATGCTTGCCACACCCTTGAAGTGCTCAGAATATTTGTGACCGGGCCCATAGTGACCCTTTGACCCACTCTTCTAGACATGTTAGTACCTAAATTGGGAGTATGCCCCTTTTTTATTTATGAAAATGGAACCAACTGCTCCTCTTTTTAGGCCTGTGGGCGGAGCTCATGAGGCACTTAAAAGCCTTGTTCTAGGATTTAAGTATACTGGTACAACCTCGTATCATACATACAAAATGAATGGTCCAATGAATATGAGAAATGCATATTATTCCACTTAATATGACTGTTTAGTGCTATTTGCTGAACGCTGTGGTTTGCAGTCAATCCATAAGTTGCAAACCTGTAAGGAACCCTGGCTCTCAAGATGAGAAAAGCGTACAATGAGCAAATACAAATGGTTGTTGCACAGCCTTTGCACCATCAACGATCTCCGACAGTTGTATGGGGCTAAAAACAAATCAGCTGTTCTGTGTAGCTCTTCACTTTTAACCTTGATAGCCTGAAGCGTTAAACACAACGCATAAAAAACACAATTCTCCAAAATGATGAAGTAAAGTTGATTGATAATTAAATCCCGTGTACTACACGTTTAAGCTTAGATTAAATTCTGTTAAAGGCGTGAAATTGAATTCGGTAAAGAGGCAAGACAAGAGCTGGAACATTAGTCAGGTTAAAGCTAAGCTCTTACTACAAAGTACTCAGACACCAGTGGAAAGAATCACTGTGACAAGCATCAGTTAAGTCCAAGGTGTTCACCACTGATGCTTTGTCTATTGCTGCTTTAACTTTCACTCTAAATTCCTCACTTTTAATTTCTCTCCATCTTGTGAGATTGACATCAAAAGTTCACCCCCTGCAGGGGTGTGTAATTATAATGGTATTAGGTGAAAAGGGGACATTTAGTCACATTTAGACAAACTGCAACCGGCTTTAAACGATTATTCTGGGAAACTTGTATTCAAAACTTCTTTGTGAGCAAATATATAAAAGTAAAATATACTCCTTGTCAGTGATTAAATTAATAAGGACATATATTTTATATGATCAAATTTTCAGATATCAGGTATATACCACTGCACCAATGGGTTTTTGGCCTTAAGTAAGGCTGATTATGTCGCCTAACTACATTGCACAGAGCTCGGCCTCAAAAAAATCTGCAAATTGTTCAATAAACACAAACTTTAATTCATTACCCTAACAGAAATTTCATCATTGTTGTAAGTGATGATAGTCTTCAGTTATAGTTATATGGAAAATGGTTGAGTCGTGTGAAAGCTATGACACATTAGTGCTGTGTCATATCACACAAGTAGTGGTACCTGTATTGTGTGTCGAATGACTCAGTTCCCCGTTCTACATACTGTGGTAAATTAAAATCTTGAAATGCTACGGTATGCAACGTTGTTCAATAATTTCCACCAGTTTTTCCTGCAATCATTCGGAAAATCTATGCACATCTACTCATCATATACTACTCTAATCTAAGGTGTAAGTCCATATTTGCAAATATTTATGTCAAACAACACTGGAAAGCCTTGCTACTATAGGGTTCACAGACAGATTTATTGTTACTTCAGCGGGAGATGAGGTCTCTGTTTCCCCCTCTTGTGATTTAGGCCTCTGGGGGGGTAAGGTTTGGAATGTTGGTCCATAATTATTGAGCTGGTTCATTCCTTACTGTTCCTTGAAGTGTTTATGTG